CAACAACTTGCCCAGGAGCGGTCCCAGTTCAGAGACCTGCTGTGGTCTGTGGCCACAAGCAGTGCCTGGAGAGGCTTTGGCAGCAGCGCTGCCAGCATCTGCGCTACCTCTGCACAAAGGGGGTTCTTGGAGTCTCTGCTCTGATCCAGAGACACACCAGAGACCAGCCCTGCTCCTGCAGGGATACAGCTTCTGTGCACAGTGCCCACCTTTCACTCATTTCTCTTCCATCCTTCACACCATGAGCTGCAGAAACCCTTTACAGTTTGGTGCCTTGCAAGGAGCTGTAGTTCCTCCATAGCAACACCATGCATTATTGGCTGAACGTTATTGGCCCGAGGAAATAAGCCTCTGGGTGCCTCATTTACTCCAGTTTCTCTTCTTCTGCTGGATTTTAAATCCTATAGTTCTGTTTCCGTCTTCCTTGATCTGTCTCCTTTTCTGTCCTGCAATACTTGTGTGGATCTCCTCTCCCAAGCCTACAAAGATGAAGTTCTTAAGAATATAGTTCGAGGTGTGCAAAAGCCAAAACTAAAAAAATGCAGGACAGCCTCAGCCCTTGCTAAAACAAGAAATCTCTTTTTTTCTAAAGAATATTTGTGAATTATAGCTCAAAGCTAAAACACATTTCACCACAGTCAAAAATAGGTTTCCAGACTGTAATAGGATTCCAAAGGTTATTGTTATTGTGGGACCTTTGATTTGCTTCGTTTTGAGACAAATGCTTCTCTCCTTACTAGGCTCTGACCTTATGACCTCCATTAAGGCTGACCTGTTAATCCCAGCAATCACTCGCAAGGTTGCTCAACATTTGCATTTCAACATGGTTTCTTCATTTCCACTTCCTTTTTAAGACTCAAACATAACGTTTACACGCTGCAGATGTGCTTCAGGCCTCCCCTGTCTGTACGTTGCAAGAGCAGTGCCTTGGCTGGGAGAACTCTGAAAGTCACCATGCCTGCCACCGAGAAGTCTGGAAAGCTGAGGCGGTGGTAAAGCCATGATTATACCTCCCTTCTGCCAAGTTTAGACTCCGGGGAATTATCAAGGAAAAGCAGCATGCTGGCTCTTAAAATAACCCTTTCTTTTATGGCTTATTTTCTCTTTTCCGTCTAAATATCAAGAGCAATGCTCGGGCTGCAGTTCTGACTCTAAACTCTCTCCCTTTTCAGAAATGTCTGCACTTCACAAAACAGATACACGGGCTCTAGGCATTCCCCAATCCAAACACTGGACAATCACAGAATCACAGAATCTTCTAGGTTGGAAGGGACCTTAAAGATCATCTTGTCCAACCGTCAACCTAACTGACAAAAATAGACACCCGCACAACAAACAAGAAGCATCACCATCACTAAACCATACCTCCCAGCACTACATCAACCCGTCTTTTGAACACCTCCAGGGATGGTGCCTCAACCACCTCCCTGGGCAGCCCATTCCAATGTCTGATAACCCTTTCAGTGAAAAATTTTTTCCTAATATCCAGCCTGAACCTCCCCTGGTGCAACTTGAGGCCATTTCCTCTTGTCCTGTCGCCTGTGACTTGAGAGAAGAGACCGACCCCCACCTCTCTACAGCCTCCTTTCAGGTAGTTGTAGAGAGCAATAAGGTCTCCCCTCAGCCTCCTCTTCTCCAGGCTGAATAACCCCAGCTCCCTCAGCCTCTCCTCATAAGACTTACTCTCCAGACCCCTCACCATCTTTGTTGCCCTTCTCTGGACCCGCTCCAGCACCTCAATGTCTTTTTTGTGGTAAGGAGCCCAAAACTGGACACAGTACTCAAGGTGGGGCCTCACCAGTGCCGAGTACAGGGGGACAATCACCTCTCGGGCCCTACTCGCCACGCTGTTCCTGATACAGGCCAGGATGCTGTTGGCCTTCTTGGCCACCCGGGCACACTGCTGGCTCATGTTCAGCCAACAGTCAACCAACACCCCCAGGTCCTTTTCTGCCCGGCAGCTCTCCAGCCACTCTGCCCCCAGCCTGTACTGTTGCAGGGGGTTGTTGTGACCCAAATATATGACTGATCTCTGAAGCAAACACAATAAAATACATCTCACCCTTTTTGCCAGAGGCCAAGCTCCCCACAGAAGAACTCTCTTTGGTGACCAGAGCACCACTCCCTGCAGCAGTTACCAAGCACGGCACCAAGCCTTTCCTGGCCCAGCAGAAGGATGCTTGCTGCTGAATACTGCACGGTGACTCTCCTGCCCTTCTCACTCCCAGCAGACAGGATCCCAGTGCAGACTATGTTGTCCTTGCATCCCTCTCCCTCCCTTGGCCTCGCAGGAGTGCCCCAAAAGAACACTGATAGCTTCCCTTTGGAAAACAAAACCCTGGGCTTCTGTTGTCTTCCTTCCCAGAGCTTCACATGAGTTTCACTGCTTTCCTAGTAGCACTGTACACAGAACCTCCAATTTCTGCCACGCCACATACATCTTTCTACAATTTAAATTTAATCTTCCCCCAAACATAAAGAGAATGACCAATAGTGGGTCTAAAGGTGTTGACAGCACTTTCATTCTAATTAACCGAATTCTAAATAGGAAAAGGCTATTCCTGGCTCAGGGATCACTATTGCAATTCCCTGGTTGATTAGCAGTTAAGGCCCAGTACTGTTGTACAATATCACGTGTCTAGCTCAAACTAAAGCACATTGGCTTTAGAGCGTTTCAAAAAGTAGCCTGTGCTGCACAAAGCAACTGGTATTTAAGAAATAGCACACATTAGAGTGCTCAAAAGCACCATCAGTGCCCGCTGGGGCCCTGCAGCCATGAGAACGAAAAATGTGGTACTAACAGAAGTGGGAAACCAAATGTGCCCTTCAAAGTTGTCTAAGACCAGCTTTCAAAAGTAAAATTAGAGCCTACAGCAGCAGCAAGCAGAGGAAGAGACCTGACAGGATGACCATCTCAATAGCAGGTCATGCGCTTAAACTCTATACTGCCAACTCCAGATCAATTACAATATAGCTACCTACATATACCTTTAATTATACAGACTTTAATTATGCAGACACTTTAAACAACTAGCTCCTGTAAAACTCTGCACCAGTATCTGAAGCGGACTATTAATCTGATTAAACCTCTGAATTAAGCAAACTAGGAATGCGTTAATTCAATATAGACCAGTAGGAAGTTGAAATAAATCCTCACCAAGGAGTCTATAGCATGACTAATTACCAGGCAATCAGCACTTCACATAGTCCAGAGAGCCTAATCATGCAGAAGCACTGGGACTCCTAGTACTAGACAGTAGATGTGCAACATGTTTTATCTGCTTTTTTTTTTCCCCCTCCTTAAAAGGCCTTGCTGAAACACTCGCTCTCTACAAAGCTGCAATTTGAGTTACTTATTGCTGATAAAAGCAAGTGAGCTCTCTCAAACTGCAGTGCTTAGCCTATCCGAATCCCAATGTAGAGTATTTTTACCCCAGATATTGATCTTCCATATGACAGAACCTCTCTGAGAGGTTCTTCAGAGCATGTCTGTCACAATAATGCTTTCCATTTACTTTAAATGAATTACAGCAGCTTCACTCTTGCTGCAGAGCTGAGCTCCTCATTTCTAATAGTAGATAGGGTCACCTTAGCACATTTTGTGATCACTGCACAGTGTAGCAAAGATGTTGCAATTGACCAGAAAGTTCATGCAACAAGTCTCAGAAATGGAGCTTAAGCATCTCCTTAAGGAATAAGGGAATTGATATAAGAAGCCTTAACAACTGTAAAAGGGCAATTAGAAGTTTCAAAAAGTGATTTAAAGTATCAGGGAACCTATTGTAGCACTGTTTTTTAAAGAGTATTTTAACATTTTAAACCTCTTAGTATGGTTTAGGACAAGGAGAATCCCATAAAGTGGCTTACTATATGTCAACCACTTTATGTCCAGGACAGCTGAAAGCAACGTAAGCTTCTAAATTCTCCCAACCATCTACCCTTGCCTTACCTTTGTGTTTGTAGCCTGTCGCTGCAACTGGTCCCTGCAATCTGACAGTAACCTGACAATGGTCATTCTTCCTCCTGCCACATATATAATTTTTTTAAGGTATAGTTTAGTTGGAAAGATCCCACTATTAACGTACTACCCCATTTCTTACCCTCAACCATGCTTCCTGCTGAAGTTCTGGGGTATCGTCTTCCCTATTGGGTGGTCTCAAAACAGTCAAATTTAAAGCAACATATAGACTATCATATAGTAGTTTACTTAAAAAAAATACGGTTCATGCCCATCAAACAGAATGATAGAGCTGTATTTTAAGTGTTTTCATAATAAAGTTGTACAGCTTCACCCAATGGGTTTGATTATCATCAAAACACTGCAAATGTGTTACAGGATGTTCAAGAATTTGATTACACATTCTAGTCAGAGAAACTGGCAATGCAACTCTTCCATCTATTGATCTTAATCACACAGATTAAGTGCAATTAAAAGTAATTTCAAATCATCGTAACATATACTACACTAGCTTTCCTGGACTTGGGTAAAGCTGCAGCACGTTACTTAATTCAACATGAAACGCTGTCCAGGATCTCCAAGACATGAACAATTTCAACCCCTCAAATCTGACATTCCCAATAAATGAGATAAATTAATTCAATGAGCAGATCCTTTCTAGAAGTGGAAAAAAATCTCTCCTAACAATAGGGAAAGTTAAGCACATTACAGGACAAGACCAAAAAAAAGTAGTTTCCATTCACGTTGCTGTAGTCTGGAAGAATTCCTTTTACCAGAAGAGCAAATGAGTTTCTGAAAAGTAGGTAGTTCTAAAAAAGAGATTCAAGTCAGAGATTAACCGCTTGTTTAAACTACACTCACTATTTGGTTTAGGAAAATTAATGCATACAAGGTGATGTTCCAACATTTGCTTCTGAAAGACAATTAAACTGTTACAGACTTAGGCCCACTGTCACATACGGGAGGCTGCCAGCACCTACTCTATTCAGCTGAGCTACGACTGGGTAGAAGGAGCCACACCTATGAACCCACAAAGAATAAATGCATTCAAGAACAACTGTTCTTTGTTTTATTGAATAGTTGAAGCAGGACTATAATCCAGGTATATTTAAATCAAGTGTTGGTCCACTTTTATCATCAAAAAGAATTGATTTTTTTTTTAATAATAACATCAACACAAATGGAAGGAACATGAAGCATCATAATAGGAACTTTAACTGTACGTGACGTTAGACCATGATCAGACTGGTGCTACTTCAATATTTATAGACTCTCCACTGTATAGACCAGCCACACTAGTGTTATTTACCTCCATATCATTGGAGTTCTAGGTAAACTAGATCAAAATGCCATTTGTGCCACTAGAATCGTGGTCTTGTAGAAATATTTCTATATTTAGTATTTTACTAAAGAATAATTACTATCCTCTCTGAAGTTACATATAGCCATTATAAATATTTACATCAAACATTTACAACTGGTTCATAATATACAACACAACAATTTAGCTATAATTTCTAATCTTCCAGTGTAAAAGTTTCAAACAACATGTTGCTATCATAATTTCAATTTATCTGTTTTGCACACAGTCACAGGCAGTACAGGGCATTTCAAAAACTCATGTTACATGATAAAAAAATGGAATGATATTACTTTAATAACAATTACTTTGGAGATTGCTTTTTATTTTTTAAACAAGCAAATTTCAATTTCTAAATCCCATCTGGTGCTACTACTAACATTTAAAATAGGTTTGAGAGGGAAGAAAAAAAACCTTAGAAATAAATACACCTTTTAAAAAAAATCCACAATTAATCATGTCAGAATATTTGTTTTCCATACAGTTTAAAGGAGACCTTACTCTTCATCATTTCCTTGCGCCAAAATACAGTGCAGTTCAATCCATTCTTATCTTCTGATTCGTCATCCTATAAATAATGCTGTCATACCCAGGATCCATGTTCCAGAGGTTGTAGGAGATAACTATCACAGCTAAAGCAAGACCAATCATCATCCACAGAATAATGTTGAAGATTACAGAGTAGTTATAGTTATATGGATAGGCAAGGTTATATGGATTTTCCGTTTTGCTCTGTAATAAAAAAAAAAATGTATTACTTTAAAGTTAGCTTGCATACAAAACACATTCTGAGCACATTAAAAATCTGAGAAATGTGAATAAGAAAGATACATTTTTGTCTAGACAATTCTGGTGCTAAGGCACAAAATGCAAAAGTGATTATGTGACTGGCATTAATGGAATCCAAAAGAATGGGCTGACAGAAGCCTCATGAAATTCAGTTAGGACGAATGCAAAGCCCTGCACCCGGGACAGAATAACCCCACGTGACAGCACAGGCTGGGCAGCAGCTCTGCAGAGAGGGACCTGGAGGTCCTGGTTGACAAGGTGAACAGGAGTCAGCAGCATGCCCCTGCAATCACGCAAGGCCACTGAATCCTGGACTGCATCTAGAGTGAAGGCAGCAAGTGAAGGAAAGAATTTTTCCCCACCCAGGAGGCAAGACTCACATGCCACTACCTTACTAGGGAGAAAACAGCAGAAATGCAAATTCTAAGGACACAAGGGAAAAAGTTTTCACAGTGGAAGTGGTTAAGTCTTTGGAACAAGCTGTCCAGAGAGGCTGTGAGACTTCCAGCCATGGGCTTTTCAAGAACTTGTCAGGACAAGGACCTGAGCAGCCTGATCTAACTCCTAAATTTATCCTGCTTTGAGCAGTAGGTTGGACTAGATGATCTCCAGAGGCCCTATTCAACTGAAATTACTATATGATTAAAAGAAGATCAAGACAGGTAAGCTGACATCTTCACACCCATGCTGAAATCATAGTCAGTCCTTAAAAAAAAGTTACTCTCAAGTGAAGAAGTGATGGATCACTTCTAATAAATTATATGTAGAAAAATATGCATCTACTACCTCTGAAGACTGGAGAATGGAGCGAGTCTTCCTTGTGAGGGGAGAATTAAATGCCTTTACAGCCACCACTTCTACTACTGCATTCCCACTATACAGATTAAACATCTCATCTGCAAACTGGAAAGGAAAAGTGACTTCATTTAAAACTTACACTGTAGCCAGGAATTAAGTAGAGTTTTGTTAGCAAGATGCACTAAACCATAAGATGACAGCTTCAGGAATAAGAAGCTTACAGAAAGTTGTAAAACTTTACACTGTTTTAGAATTCCACTAAGAAAGTGCCAACTTTCACCTGGTTTACAACACCTCTTCAAAACCTTGAACACTGTTCAGCAGACTGTAACTTATGACTGCTTTCTGGCTGAAACTCATTCTTTCGTTCCTTTCACAAAAGGCTCATCACCATATAGTTTCCAATTGTACATCTCTCAGTTTCAACAAAATACTTAGGTTCTCAGCCTTTCAATGGGAAATGATGAACCTGAATATTTTAATCTGATCCAAAGACCAACATGTCCATTATTTAAATATATTTGCTTAACTGCAAAGAGACCAAAGAGTATTAAAGAAAACAGTTATTTTGCTTTTAACACTTTTCCATCGAGCTTTTAAAACTCTCAAAAGTGACTGGCCTTTAAGATTTTATCTAATGATTATGTAAGACTTGATAAAGAATTACTTTCTTGAGCTTATTGATAGATGAACAGTAGTTATTTTAGGTTCTTGGAAATTTAGATTTATACAACTTTGTGGCGAGGGGAAACTAACCACTGTACCCTGGGATAAAGATATTTCCAGATTTCCGAAAGTCAGTTTTTGAGAGACATACTGACAGTTTTAAATGCAAGATATCCATTTAGGAAAAACAAACATATTGAATCATGCTGATATGCGGTTTCAATATATTCATACTCCTTTACACAGAGTATCCAACACATTGCAGAATCATGTCAACACTTCCCAGAGTGACAAATTGTAACATTCCATTTTATAACTGAACGACTACATTTTAAAAACCAAAGAACAAAAACAAGCATCAGTTAAGCCATCACTAATGAAGTGAAAATTCAAAGCAGAAGACAGTCAATAAACTAACCCCCTTGTAGTTAACACAAAGGATTATTTCCTAGTATTTCTGTGAGTTTTGTTAATTAAGTAGAAACTGTACCTTTTGTAAAGAGTCTACAAGAATCTGAGAAGCATCCTTGAACTGCTGAGAGTCTTCCCCATATCGTTTTCCAACCTCTTCCAAACCAGCCAGTTCCAGAGAATACAGGTCTGGAGAGTGATCTTTGGCTAAGTGCTTGTGCCGAGACAGCTTTGGCACATCATTGAGGGCAGAAAGAAATTCATTCATACACAGGTTACTTTAAAAATACATTTCACAAAATCAGTTTGCTGGGACTAATCCAGCCTCACTTTCCACAGTCATATTCCACATTGATTAGGAAGTGGTATTTCTTGCCAATTTAACTAGAAGACGTCCACAATTGTGTCTTTTCTTATTCTACAGAAGAAAGCAGATGATCATCACGTAGCATCTATTCCTAACATGATGTTATATACATGTAATATAGAGCTCTACTAAAAAGAAACATTATAATTATTCACATCAGAATCTTTGTTATATGACTGCCGTAAAAATAAAACTTGGAGGAAAAAAAAAAACCACATAACTACAATACTTGGCCACTACTATTCCCTCCACTGGAGCTGGCCCTTGTGAAACTAAGTAGGCTGCAACTTCTACCCTGCTGTTGCCTGTGTAAAAAAGTAGTTTAAGGAGTATCATTGTATGTTGGTTGGGTTTTGTCATAAAATCCAACCAACATAATCCAAATGATCATAAAGGAGAGTAGTGATATTCTTGCACTTCTACAGGTGTAAAGCTGCAGCACTCACATTTGCCTGCACAAAAGAACAGTCTCTGAAAGCAAGGAATTTAATCTCCAAGACAAAACCAAGTTGTTCTACCTCATTTTCTCAAAAGCCTCATTTCTCTCCACCAGCCCTTCACCTAATGGGAACCTCTGAGTTCTTCCATGACTATTTCTTTTACTTTACATAGCTGGGGGCTGCAGTTCAAAGGCAAAAAAAAAAAACCCACACCCAAAACAAAACCTAAACTACATCAACAAGGCAGTAGCTTCTTAGTAAAAAGATCCTAAGAATTAAAAGCTCACCCCTGTCTTGGGACCTTTCTATCACCGTCACTATTCATGCTACAAAAGTCACTGCAGTAGTTTCAGATAAAACGTTACGGTGATATTTTGAAGTAAAATGGCCAACAGGGCAAAGAACATGTTCTCAACAACCATTATACTTCTCAAGTAAGAAAACAAGGAAAGCCCTGGCAAATTTTTCACTAAGTACTTCTTGTGTCTTTGGGTATGGAGAAATAGCAACTCAGAATTCCCTCTGTTCTCACCAAACACAATACAAAAGAATCTACAGACGATTAAGGTTCTTATTTTCTTCTGCCAGTGACAAGGCTGATTCATTCTCAAGCTATTTGTATTTAAACCGATGCAACCAAGTGATGACACATTTGAATATATATATCACTGGTTGCCAAGTATGTTGGCTAGGGCTTCTCTACTTTTAAGGAGATCTCTGAAGTTTGTGACACAAGATGGGCAAAGTGTTTCAAATAAACCTTACCAGGCTTGCGATATCATGTAGGACTTGTAGTTCTGACAGAAAGAGCAAGTCAACCTAGGGGAAGAGGCAGAAAGAAAGAGAGCTATTTCCTGTGATGAAGCCAAAGTTAGGGAAGTCTCATTTTGTTTCAAGTCTCAGTATTTTATAACAGGTAATGTCTGTTACAGCATCAAAACGCGCTAGAAGGAAATTACTCTTTCAATAAAACTACTTAGAAAAAAAATTAAAACTTAGGTCCTAGAATTGAGTCAGAAAAAAAGTAGAGTGGGCCCTCCTGGGTAAAGCAAGGAGGAAAACCAAAACAAAACAAAAAAGCAAAAGCACAAGCTAACTAAGAATATTAGAAAAAAAAAACCCAAAACAAAACTAAAAGTTCCCACTGATTAAAGTTTTTTACCTCATTGTTTCTGCTGAGGGAGTTGAGAGGAAGGGAGCTGAGAATGGAGTTGTCCTGAAATAAGCGGTTTCGCAGTTGGCGCAGTGTGACAGAAAGATCTTCAAATACAGAGTTTGCCTTGCCCACCATGTACACTCTCTGCAGGAACAGCCATGGGTTAATAACAACAGAGGTTCACTTCTAGTTTTTTTCAGACACACATTAGTAATCAATCACACTTGCAATCTCTCTCCAATGCAAAAATATTTCATATCATTAATTAGGTTTGCTCCAGCCACATAAGTGGACAGAGGTTTACTCTTCAGAACATCTGGAACCAGCAGTGAAGCAATACTCACTTCCTCACTGGGGGCCAGCTGCAAGACCACAGGAGTTTCCTCCGAGAACAAAGTATGAATAGCATTCGCAACACTGTCAAGACTGAAAGGCACAGCCTGCAAGACAAAATCGAGTTAGATTTTTGGGTAAAACAGTGCCTAATGATATAAAAGGAGATAATTTGCTTAACTACAGAAGTCTGGAAAAAATAGGACAACTTCTTTTTGAGCAAATAGTACAAATATTTCCCAAGTGATAACAACAAATAATCTGAGCCAATATGCAAAACAAATCAACCGTATATCTATGAACAGACAATTTATTTGTATATATGGTGGAAACAATCTGTTTTTTAAGAACTCCAAGTGGCCACGATTGTGTAATTAAGAGGCTTCCTTAAGCTAAGAGTATAGCCTTGTTTATCAGTAAAGCAAGACCAACAAATATAGAAGCAATACAAAAGGGGAAACCAATCTCAGTGCTAGAACCACAGAAAACCAATGAATGAAAACACACCAGTAGAAAGATCAACTGCTGAAACACCAGAGAAGAGAGCCATATAAAAAAATTGCTTAGAATAAAATAAATTCTAGCACTGTGTAGTTCCATTACTGGCAAACTAATAAAATGTTAGTTTTTCTACACACTTATTTCTGGGTTTCATCTAAAAAGAAGCAGAATGGCACATTTCTATTCCGTAGTTAAAGAGCATAAAAATATTTTTTTCTAATAAATGTTAGTAAGCCTGTAAGCTAGGATAACTTGGACACAGCAGTCCTGAACATCGACTCATTGATGATCATTTGAAACTATTCTTGAATATCAGAGAACCAGTACTTTGACAGCATACATTCAGGCAGCTCATCTGAAGACACAGCAGCAGTTAACAGAACCAATTAAAGTTTAGGAATATTAATTTCTATTAATGGGAAATAAAGAAAATACGTACTATGTACACATCAGAACTTTATCAAAGTTACAAGCACAAATGTGACTGAAAACTTCTTCAAGTATATTTAAGGTTTCTGAAAATTAGCAATGCCTACACACTCGAGTGCAGACAATCCTAAATCGGTTTTGGTCCAGATTCCATTTCAGCAAAGCCAACACGTAACTGTGCCTGAACTAGGGAGCTGTGCTTGAAAGGTGATGTGAAAGTAGAACTGTGTTAAGCTGAATTTGACCAGAGTTCAATGAAAAGCCATGTAACGTTCCAATTAAATGCTGATATTTTAAAACAGATTAAAAGCCTGCCTAATAGCTGCAAAAGTCATTTCATCACCTCATCCTGGGATGTGCAACAGGGTGTCAATATTAAACAAAACACTATTTAACACTGTCACTGATGATTCCACGGTGTGACTGAAATAATAAAATGATAAATAACAATTCTTAACAGGAGCACAGCAGTCTCACAGAACCAAAAAGCATGGTGAACTAGTGCAAAACAAAGTTTTCCAACACAGGCAGAAGGAGAATTAACTAACTAGAAATAACCTGAAAAACAACTCATTTGAAAAGGGTTTGCGGGTTCAGGCTCAACAGCTGAGCTGTTGACAACAGCTCAACATGAAGAACTGGTCCAATACTGCAGCAAAATGGATTAAAGCAGACAATGTATTTATAAAGGAGGACTAGACAGTGTATAGTTACCAACATTTTGTACGTTGCTGTGTTCCTGTTAAAATGCGTGTAGACAAAATCATATGACATGAGAAGAGGGAACAGGCATAAATTTAACAATAGGAAACTATCTGAACACAGCTTTTAGTAAGGGAGGTCAAATACTGCCACAGGTTGCTCAGAGAGGTTGTACAGTCTATTTCTGTGGAGATATTCAAAACCCAACTGGACACAGTTCTAGACAGCCTGCTCTAGCTGGCCCTGCTTATTCAGGGAATTGGACTAGATGGTTTCATGGGGTCCTTTCCAACCTAAATGATTCTCTCATGATGTGACAAGTATGAGAAAAGCATCTCAGCAAAGACAGACAGTGGCAGGTAAATATAATGTTGTTGGTTGGTGGGGTTTTTTTGATACAGTATAATCAAATTGTGTCTCAAAGTGCTATATTTCAGATTCAAGTACTTGAGGAAAACTGCTTAGAGGGTGATACAGTACATCAAAGAATCATCATCATATAAAATGCTATCACACTCACTCAGCAGAAGCAAAAAAAAAAAGTAAAAGTTAGTGTTTCTGACTGTGAATCAACATGTTAACATGGGAAGCAGTGGATTCTCTGCCTGGGTGATCTTAAAGGCCTCTCCCCTTGTACAGGAGTCTGACTGGATTATTTACCTATACAGCCTGATCCATCATTCTAGGGGAATATGTGAACCTCAAGCAAAGTAAAAAATAAGTGAACATGGGCTACAGTAGAGGGTCATGTACTTCTCTTTAGATCACCAGTCACAGAAATCACACACCAGTTCCAAATATGGATACTCACATTCTCAATAGGGTAGGAAACCCCTTTCACAGGCAACGCCAGCTTGTCTACTCCTTTCACTGTTACCAGCACAGTAGCTCGTGGTCTGTGAAACAGATCACCCACTGCAAGCCCAGGCCAGGAAAGGTCCTATTACAAAACAGTAAAAAAGCCTGTATTTCACAGGGAGAAAGAGAGAAGCGCTCCTCTACCATTACAGCAAAATAACTTGCTGTCCTATTATCTCTGTTTGATTTCTTATTCAAAATTTCACGGCAAAGTAAGTTAATACTAGAATGTTTTCACATTGAATAATGCAGTCTCAAGTTAATAATGAAGAAACTGTTAGTTTAAAAGCTCCAAGTAACTTCATAGCAAAGTCTACACTGAGAAAGCATTATACGTGTTGGATATATCAAGACTTATTTCCCATAATTAAATTTGAAATATTAAAGTCTGTATTTAACAAGTGAAAGCTGAATTTAAAAATAAAATAAAAACCCAACCCCCAAACAACCCCCCCTCCCTTTCACAAAACACCACAGAAACAGATTTAGGCACATTAAAATACCTAATATTTTTGATATTTTCAGCACCAGAAAGAAACAGGGGCATGGGTAGGGTGGAGGAAGAGAGGGGGGAGTGTCACTCATACCAACAGTCTACTAATCTAAAACTTCAAACTTTGCATAGAAACACAAAAAGTTACTTAGTAGCTTACTACAGTTATGTATCAGTAGAGCTCAGTGAAAGCTACCTGACTAGTTTATTCAGCACAAAATACAAATTCATCTATTTGGAATGAATTCAAACAGATTTCTCAATTTGTGTAAAAGACATAACTGCTTATTTAAGTTTTATGAAACCATTTTATTTGGATTTTAGAATTAAATGCCATTGACATTATGATCTGTATCACCTCAAAGAAACAAAAGAAAAACCTTTTAAAGCATCAACACTCCTTGATCAAGCAAACAAAAGAAAAACCTTTTAAAGCATCAACAGGGATAAAAAAGGGGCTTCTGTATTATCTTGTCTTAACAAGGGAGGACTACTGAATGATCGTTTCTGAGAACCCCCAATGTAATGAAGTAAGAATTTTAAATTGTCTACTGTACACATACTGCACTGTCAGTTTTAAGTTCCTAGACTACAGCCCTGATGTAAACTGCGAAATGAGTGTTTGGGCCCTGCAGTATTCACCTCACCAGGGCTGGAAGCTGCCTACATGGTGATCTCTGCCTTGGTGACAATGTTGATAACTTTCAGTTTCAGGGCTTAACTGAATAAAGTAATTTAAACACTTCCTTCCCTGTCTGCTTCTAGGATTTGAAATAGCACTAAGAGATAACTATTTTTAAAGGATGCTATGGACCCATCACAGCAAATGAATCCCAAACTTTGGCAAAGGCACAGAGTGAATACTGAAACATTTTTTTCCATGATAACCACATTATACTTCCAGGTGACCAGTATGCCAAAAGTCTAGCATTCAAAATGGGCCCAAAAATCCCTGTTTCACTGGGTGTCTTTACATGCAGTGTCCACAATACCATCTGATGTATTGCTTTTTCCTTGATAAAATAATCAAAATATACTTCTTAGCAGTACTACTTATTAGAATTTCTGTTACTAGTTTAGTGATGAAACAACATGATTAATTGACAGCAAGATGCTTTCAGACAAATTCCAAAACACAAGCTAAACGGACCTGCATTCAAACCAAAGCTATCAGACCTCTTGGTTAAGTGCAGTATGGAAGAAACGGGAGTTGGTATCCCTCATCAGCATCGTAAGAATATGCCAGCTTGTAGCTTTAAGTATCTGACCACACACAGACACTGCTAGAGACACTTGGCCATTAAGCTTTCATGAACTGCTTCAACAGCCACTCATCCCTGCTAAAGCCCAGCAAAAAATTCAGTATACATGATGGAATCAATCAAAGGGGTTCCTACTCTTGTGCCCCACTTTAAACATCACTAAAGCTATGTTCAAAAACCTAATTTGGGAAACACTACCACAAATTAGGTTTTCAAGTCTTTGGATTACTTCCTAACTATTCAGTTTATTTGTTCTTATTAACTATGCTCAGCAGACAAGCTTGCTGACCTGACAAAATGCCTGCCTAACCAAGCCATTTCTTACAATCTTCAGAGTAACCAAGAGCAGAGCCCTACAGATATAGCTCATAGGCAAGAAATGACAGTGGTTCCTACAGATCCTCCGTATGTGACTACAGATGGCGGGGATATACCATGTAGTTGGGTCTCAGGAACTGAAGAATATCACAGTAAAGACTCCATGGGCTGGCTTGCTTCCTTCTCTAGCTGATGATTCAAATTAGCCAGCTAGCACAGCCTTTTGCTGCTCATATGACTGATATAGCCCTATGCTTGGAAACCACATTCTGACAAGTCATGCATTCCTCAAGACAAACAGAATGATATTTTATATATTCCAGCACATGACAGGAAGATTTGCATGTTAAGTGAGCAGGTCTGTAGTTTCAGAGGCAGTTTAAAATCAAGACCCAAAACATACTTCTTCAACAGAAAAGCCCATGGATAACGCAGCTACATCTGGGATCCGCTCGCCAGGAATGGGCCAACTTCCATCTCGAAAAACAACTGATTGAGGTGATCGTAAGACGCTAAATTCATCACCGCATACACCTAAAAACAAACAAAAAAAAGTTGTCAGAGTTTTCCCTATCTTCCTCTTACATCACAGAAAAAGAGCGTACTAGAGCTTTGTAAGATTCCTTATTCCTCCCTCTCACACCTATCAATTTATGTAACACAACTAATGAGAAACAATCATTTTAATGCTCTGGAATACAATATAAGGTTTCTATACAGCAATGACTACGGATGGACAAATCCAAATTAACAAAAGCAGGACAATTATTCAAGCAACAGTACAATCTCCTGCTGCATACTCACTAGCAGGATGTGAGCAGCGTTCCAGTTCAGACCTGGGAAAGCTCTCAGTAGAGCCAGGCAAGCTCCAAAATCCTGTTAGCTCACAAGCAGCTCTGCACCAACATGGTTCTGTTTGCTTCCAGAACTGCTTGGCATGACACCACTTTTCATGCAGGCAACAGCCCGAGCCACTGAACCCAGAGCCAGGAGGATCAGCAGAGCTGGTGCTGGCTTAAACAGAGCACTGCCAGGAACAATCTGGCTTCTGCAGAACAGCTCCGGTGTCTCTGCCCTGCCTTCTCAACCACGTGACATTGGGAGATGTTTTTCTTCCTCAGATGCCGTATCAGACCTAAGCTGACAGTGTGAAGCCACAGTCTGTAATACTTCTCATCTTGAGTTTTCACTTATTTGCCATTCCCCCTTGCCTCTCTTCCTCGTTACCTTGAATAGTAAAGTTGACTAAAAGCATTATTTCTAACCTGTATTATGACAACGGTAATTTATTGTGTAATAAAGTCAGAGAGCACTCCATGAAATAAAAATAGGAAGCTAGATTGAAATAAGCTCATCTCTTAAGTCACTTAAGCATAACTGCAATACTGCGTGCACAAACAATTACCTAAATAAATTTGAATATGTATTTGCTGAATATAAGCAGTAATATGCACAATGCAAAACTTCAGATAAACCCACCCCAATGTACAATCTGTGTATGTTTCTACAAGAAAATTAATCTGATACAAGACTCCAGAAAATTAAGTAGGAGAACAATAAATATTCACAGGCCATCTGAGTTAAGGTTCTAATTATACAATCAGTCTGACTACATACTCCAAAATTACATGAATAAGACAATCCTCTAAAAAAAACAACAAAAAAAGTATTTACTCATATGATCATTGAAAATTAGTTATCAATTTAAGCAGCTATATAAAATAGTTTTCCAGGGCATCTGCAAATCTCAAGGCTATTTACAAAAACAATGCAATAGTAAACTGATGTGTTGGGCAGTTATAATCTTCCCTAACATTAATTTAACCAATCTGACCTTGAAGATGCTTTTTTAAAGCCTGAATCGTGATCATGCATACAAATGTTGACAGTAAACCTGAGCTATATTATGGTAAACATACTAAGGGAACAAAGTACTGAGACGCAGGTCAGGGAAGGGTGGCAAAAGGAAGGAAACGGGCCAAACCAACAGATGCATATGGAGATTCAAGAGTTTTTTCTTTTAAATTGGCATGTGTTCATTGGATAGCCTGCTATCAACCTCAAGCATATCAACACACATTCGGAAGAATGGAAATGTTTCCAGACCAGTTTGCTTAGAAAGGAATTTATAAAGTTGCTGCAAATGTTTTTGCTCAATCCATAGGATTTCACACGTTCCTTTAATTTTCCACAAGGCTTACAAGGCAGCCACACATGTTATTTATAACAAGTTGGCTTACTTGGGGCATGGTTGCTCAGGTGAATTAGAAAATTAGAGCGATATCCTTTTTTCCTAAATTTGCCTCGCAAGTTCTCAATAAGCAAAAACTGAATTTGAAGTTGGAAACATGCGGTAACCGCTGGACCACGGTACCGCACTGGGCCACAGATTCAGTGAAGTCCAGAGAGTCAATTCCCAAGATGTAATTCATCCTGCATACGGCTGCCCACCCACCTACAGAATAAACCTTAATCCCACTTCTACGTTTACCAAGTGGTATCTCGGGAGAGCTTCGGCTCTCAAAAGCTTTGGCGGGCCTACATCAAAGAACCGAGGTAAGGCTGACTGAAAACGACTTAGGGGGCCTGGCCGCCTGACGGTGCGGAGCGGGGGCCTGGCGGACAACGGCTGACAGAAAACCCCCAGCCATGGCAAAATGCGCACCGGGTAACAAAACGATGTGTATCTACACAACACCAACACCACCCCCCGCCAGGCTCGGCCTCCCCCGCAATCGCACGCGCGCCCCTCTCCAACCGTCGCGGCCGGGCCTGCTGAGGCGCCCAACG